GTTTGCCTGGGAAGTTGAATGTTCCGCAACAAATGAATGTTGAGAAGTTGTAACGAATGGTGATGAAACTCTCTACAGATGGTCTATCCACTTGTGAGTTTATTGAACTGGGTCCTGTAACTCAAAAAGAAAGGTTAGAAGAGCGCTAGAGTATTTTTCGGCATAACCCTCTAACGATCAAGTCAATTTCTGAGAGAGGGTTTGGGAAACACTATTATATTGCTGGTGTAAGGGTTTGCGTACCTTAGACTTTGGTTTTAGAGAGTAATTTGTACCTCCCTGGAGTCAATCATTACGGACAGTGAGGTCCCTTGGAATGAGGGCTCCTCATTGGCTCATTTGGAAGATAACATGTGGTGCACAATCCTCGAGCAGTGAACCCTCCTTTCACATGGTAGAAGTTTTTGCATTTAATGCTCGGATCTTTGGGCATTTAATGTTCATCTTTTTGATCTTGCCGAGCAATAAATGTGACGACCCGTATAAAAATATAATAATAATAATAATAATAATAATCGTTGATATGCTAATTAGGTCGTCAATTATAATGGAGGTCTATTTTTAAATAATAAATTTTTATGAACAAATGGACCTTAAATATAGACTCTTCACGTGAAAACAAGTCAAATGACTATAATCTAGGTCAAAAATTATAACATCTATATATATATGTGTGTGTGTGTGTGTGTGCAAGTGAACGGACAAATGTATATATATATATATATATATAAAGAGAAAAAGGGGTCAAAATTTTGTTGACCTAAAAGTTCGCGGTTATGATCAAAATTTTGGGTAAGATTTTTAGTTATTATTTAGTAAATTTTATTAGTTCAAGTTTCTTAAAGTTGATCCTTATTACATATTTTTGGATCAAATTTTAGCTTAACTAAGCTCTTATTACCTATTGTTATTCCAAAATATTATTTTAGTTGTTTTGTCACAGTACACGGTATCAAGTAAAAGTCAAGGCAGATGTAGGGTTTCTTTTACTTTTACTATCATTGATGCATTTTATGCATATTTTGGGGTTTCATATCAAATCTATTTTTAATTATATAATGTAATATTATATCGTTATAATCATGGGGTCAAACTGGGGTTTTATAAATAAATCGTTATCATGTATATATTATTTTTTTATTTATATCAAGACTCTAATTATCTTAAGAAACCATGTGCATAATAAAATGCTTATTTCATTGTTAATATTTAATGTTTGATTTGTTGTGGGGTCTGACTACGATATGACTTTATTTTGTGATTTTAATAAAACTACTATGAATGCATATAATCGAGGGCAAAGAGTTAGTAAAAGTGTGATCCTTACAAGGATTCACAGGATTCTTACTAGTCCTTAGGTTCACCAGTTAATAATATCGGTTGCCGTGGTAGCTTGTGTGGCACTATATAATTTTCGGTATTGGTGTTTCCAGAAAAGCAAGAAGGGCATTGGGTTTCCTAGGGTGCAAGACTCCAAAGTTTTCTCCGGAGGCGGTTCATGCGTGAACCAGAAAATTGACGGATTGATATGATCGACATGTGCTGAAATTTATTCATTTGATTCATTACTTTGCCCTATTCCTGCATTTATTTGTGGTTTAACTATATTATGCATTGTTTTAAAACTTTAGTAGTCATTGATAAACGTTATCCTACTGAGCTGGTGAGCACATCCCTATCTAACATTTTTCAAATATATGAAGTCGGGTTGGAGGATAGGCTGAAAGGATGATGAATAGAGTCTGCTATTATTATTTCTCTTTAAGTTGTATCAAGAATATTTAAAATGATCTTGTGAAGGATTATGTACTCGTACGCTAAATATAATAATATAAAAAAGGTTATCGTAAGTTCGGTGTAATTTTATTCCTTAATCATGTCCGGGTATTTATTTATTTATTTTTTTAGAAGAAAAAAAAAATCGGGGCACGACAATAAATATGTCTCATCCTTCTGTAGGGGTTCATTTAATGCGCCCGAATTATGGCTGCGTATGTGAAGATGCATTTTCGTCATTCACCCCTCAAGGGGTCAAGATTTCAATGCTTCGTACCTCATACACCCTTACTATTGGTTATTGAATTATCTTTCCTGCCATTCTGATTGCTTTGGAAAGGGGGAAACGATGATTAATAGTCAATTCTGCTTCTAAGTGATGATGTTTTATTTGACCTCGATCACTAGCATGCTTGCATCAGCTAACTTTTTCTCCATTTCCTTGAGGACTTAGCAACTTTGGTAGGGGCTAGTCATTAAGACAACTGCCAATACCTGCCGACGTAGAGGGCTAAACATCAAGGACACGTGTCAAGCAACTGGGACTTTGACAACCTATGTGCTGAAGACAAGTATCAAGCAACTAAGGCCCCGAGAACCCAGGGGCCGAGGAAACATGTCAGGCAGGGAATGTTCTGGGGGACCTAAACACCAAGGACATGCATTGAGCAGATGACATCTTGGTCGAGGACACGTGTCAATCAATTGGAGTTCTGAGAACACTTTGCCGAGTCACTCCATGGCGGCTCCACGTTCACCATGCCAAGGCCAAGGTCACGTGTCGTCTCCCCATCAATCCATGAAAACGTCCCATCATAGCACATGCCTAGAAAACCCTTTGATATGTTTTATTCAAGTTCCTATAACATAGCAATTGACAGTAACCAACTTAGAAGCTTCATATGAGCATTATCTAAATTTGGAGTTGATATATGGAGGCAGGAAGACATCGAGTAAAATGGATGTAGAGCTTTTTGAGAAAGGGGGAATGACTGTCTTTTGTCGTGTGGGTGGGGGACTGTGTCTTCCGTGGGCATTTTTTCGAGCAGTGGTGAGCAAACGGTGGTGATAGGTGTGGGATGGGGGTTGGAGGAGTAGGGGTTGTAGGCTGGTGGGTGGGTTATGGTGATGGTGATGGAGGATGACTGGGAGAGATGGGGCAGAAGAGAGAAAGAGAGATACCTACATTAGGGTGTTGGAGGTCGTCGACCTTATCTATTTGCAGAATATAGGTTGCTGTGAATATTATCTCACTTGGGTTGATTTCTGTGTGCGCGTGAATCCAACAATGAGGGTGTGGATGATTTGTGCTGAGAGAGTGAGGGTGATTTGAGCACAGAGAAAGAGGACTCACAGAGGTAGTGTTATTCGTCGAATGTAGAGAGAGACGACAAGATAAGGCTAACTTCTCTGATGCAACTGTTGAAGAAGAGGAGAAGAGTAGTAACCTAGAGTTCCAAAACGACATCGTTTTGTAACCCGAAACTGTAATTCCTTAAGTCCAAACAACATCGTTTTAATCCACTAAAATGACTATTTAAAAATAAAGAATTCTATGAAAAAATATCATACGCCTTAAAAGAAAAAAAAAATTTGACAATTTTTCTGTGAGAACATAAATCGTTGCAAATTTTTATTTCTTATATTTTTTTATTTTTGTGCATTTGACAAAAATTGCGACTGAAGATTTCTTTGGTGACAAAATTTTTTGTCGCCCATAAATTTTGCATTTAGCACCAACATTTGCACCAAAAAATATTTGGAGGTAATGTTTTTGCGAAGCTTTTTAGTAATTATTAAAAAAATTTGTCACCAAAATCGTCATAAAAAATTTTTTCTTTAAAATTGTGCCATCAAATTACTTTTTGGCAACAAATTTTACTAGTCACTGCCAAAATTCGTCATGGAATAACAATTTTCTTGTAGTGAGGATGGTCTGGCCTATTTCTTGTTGGAATTTTTCTATATTGAACTTTCATTAATTGATAGTTAATTTTAAACTTGTGAAAAATATGTTGAATTTATGATCCAATGAAATGAGCTCAATATTGTTAAATGATCTATTTTGATGAATTTATGTACATCTTTTTAATTGATGTTGTCGAAGCGATTAAGTGTAAGTCTTAAGATGTGTTTGTTAACTCAAATTCAATATTTAAAATGAATGTATTCAACACTTATTAATTAAGGTTGTTTGATACCAAAATTTAAACTCTCTTAATATGTTAAGTGCTCTTTAAATAAAAGATCTCTTACTTAATTCTGAAAACTAAAAGCGCTCAGCAAAATCATCTTTAATAATATTTATAATATGACAATTATACTACGAAATATTTTACAATCCTATTAAAACTCTAATTAGTCTTCTCTTTAAAACTCTTAACCTATATATTCTCCTTGTCGATCTCTTTTTTTCTTTTTTTTTTCATTTGTCTTCTGTAACAAAAATATACATATATAATTATAATTACACACACAAACGCACGCACTGCAATCACGCAATTACACACAGACATATGCACTGCACACACACACGGCGCACACACATATTGTTAATGAAATCTAATTTATTGTATTTTTCAATATTATTTGATTGTTTATTGGTTTTTTTTTATCAAATGTTATTGTTCATTTATTGTATTATTTAGATGTTATTTATTTATTTATCTATTTTGATCAAATATTTATTAAATGTAGACTACAATATACTAATAATGATTATGATTTATGTTATGACATATTTTATAAATATTTTTAAATTAAAAAGTGAAATAATAAAACTAAAAATTAATTTATTTTTAGACATCAGCTCTGTGTAGTTATTAAACAATTTAATTCAATTCAATACTTAAATGTCAATGAATACCAAACAGTCCACAAATTTAGTATTCAATTTTTAGACTTCAACTTTCAGATTTCAGCTTACAGACTTCATCTTAAACACCACCATAATCTAATTGTAATCCGTAATAGAAGAGCTCATTTAATTCATTATAAATAACAAGTTAAGTCTCATCTACACTCATACCCTAATTTGACTTGTCCCATTGAAGGTCACCTATTACTTGGAAGAAATAAAGGAAGAAATGAAACTTGAATTGGGAGAGCTCTTCAAACTCATAAAATAATACAGTCAACACTCCGCATAGATTGAGTCGGATTTTGTTTCTACATCAAACTAAAACCTCCTTTTTGAGCATTTTCCAAAATGTTAAAACAAATCAATGTCCAAAAACAAAATTTCAAAGGGGAAAAACTCAACCAACACCACTAGGATTCACTTGATCAATCGAGGTATTATACATATGGTACATAGGGACCACAGTAGTTTTACATTGGAAATTTATCCACTTCCCGACTTACCAAAGACAATCTCATCATCTATGTTACATTCTTCAAAATGGGAGAAAGGAGGAAAAAAAATAATTATGACCAACTTGCTTTTGCATACCAGTCCAAAATCATGCATCTACCTCCACGAGATAGATTTGGTTTTTCCAAGCAGTGATAGATTTGGTTTTTCCAAGCAATGACTTCTTTCACTGGATCTTGGGTTTCTGAATCTTCACATAGGGGAAAAATCCCATTGAGTGCTTTACTTTTGGATCCCATCCCCGTTGTAGAGCACGGCAAAACATCATGAATGTGTTTGCAAAATATGAGTTAAAACCCATAAGGACATGCCACAAAGCATGACCCTGAGGATTAAAGTACCAGGTAGAAATATTCTTGCAGAACAGACGATCACATAGCCAACAAAGACTCCCAAGCAATAAGGTGATCAAGTACAACTTTGCAAGCCGTTTTGCAGATCTATCTTCTGTATGAATGTAATACTTGTACATCCGAGGGATGCAAAGCAGGCAGAGTAACGTATAATGCAGCTTAAAACCAATATCAAAACGGACCTGTGAATGCGCTACTGCAAAAACTGCACCATAAAGGAACAAAAAAGTGGGCATTGTACTCCGGTAATGCCAATCTGGCGAATATAGGATGTAAAGATACAGGAGCATTTCCCACACCATTGGTGTTTCATCAAATTGCTGTTGCCTGAATATAATTTCAAAATCATTCTGAGTCACAAATCACAAAGATAAAATACTAATTGATTGAAAATTATGAAGTCAGTCATCTTTAAACAACTTCTAACTATTGTTTCGACCAGAAGAACACAGAAGATGTTTTCCAAGGTCTGCCACAGAAAAATAACCTATGTATGTGTGCCTAATTTTCAGTATATAGTGTTCAATCCAGTAGACTAAACATGCCAAGAGGCTTAAAAGCAAGGTTGCCAATTGATCGTGTCATAAATCTAAACCATGTAAGTCGTGCCCGCATCAAAAATTGCTCAACCCACACCCAACCCACTTATAGTCGTGTATAGCCGGGCTCATGTCATGGCAGAGTCATGTTTAGCTATGTTCTTGCTGTGTTTAACTGGCTTGTGGTTCATCATGTATGTAACGATTCTTGTGGGTAAGCCATTTATGACTTGAATCTATTGTGACAGAAATCATACCTACTAGCTTTGGGTCAGATTGACAGATTTGTGTAAATAACTGACTGCTCTGCTTAGAAGACAACATGCAGATGGACAATGAGTCATCATTGACATCATAAAAACTAACATGTAGTGTGTCAATCGAGTCACGTCGTGCACAAATTGCTTCATTTACGGTTTGGGTAGTACTACCGAACCCTAACCCAATCTAAAACTAAGACTCCTTTCTCCTTAAACCAAAGCCACCACTCAAAAAACCATTACAAACTAAAAATCCACTCAATTCATATGCTAGCAAAACCAAGTAAAGAACCCTCTAATTCTAAAAAGATTCATGTATCATCAGATAAAGAAATGCAAGAAACATTATAAAAATGGACATTTTATTCATACAATTTAGAATCAGTTTTTATGTCAAAATTGGATTATTTGTACCTGAAATTAAATCATAGTGTCTTTTTCAGATTCTAGTCAAGAACTAGTCAATTATTACCTGCTAATTTATATCATCGAGGTTAATTTCTTGGGTAAAGAAATTACCATCCTTTAGCCAAGTGCAGTAAAACTATTTTCGGAGGCTGTGGAAAAATATAGAATAGGGAGTAAGAGGGACCTTTGCTTCATTAAAAATTAGGCACAGACCTGCTACAAAGTTACAAACTACACAGAATTCCTATATTCTTTGCATTGACAGCATTGACCTTGACACCTAAAATATTGTTAGTGTTCTTATTTTCTTATTTTTCTATATTGAGTCATGAGTTAATTAGTGTAGGGTAATATTGTAATTACCCTAAACATTGCTTAATTATAAAAAAGAAGGTGTAGGGCAACAGAGCCTCTACAAAACAGATTATTCTTTCTTGCCTTCCTTTCCCTTCACTTCCTTTCTCTCTTTATATACTTCTTTCTATCCCTAATATTATTTTGTTCTATTTCAACTAGTATGTCATGCAGATGAGGCAATCTGTAAACCAAAAACCATTTCTCTCTTTCTTTTTTTTTTTTTTTTTTTTTGTTTTTGACAAATTTATCCAAGGGAACCCAGGGGTGTACAATCTTTGTAATTACTGTATAACAGATGCACAAAGCCACCACTCAAAATCCTTTACAAACTATAAATCCACTCGATTATATGCCAGCAAAACCAAGTAAAGAACCCTCTAATTCTAAAAAGTTTCATATAATACCAATTCAAGAAATGCAAAAAACAAAAAAATTATAGAAATGGACATCATATTCATACAAGTTAGAAGTTTTTCATGTCAAAATTGGATAATTCATACTTGACACTAAATCGTAGTGTCTTTTTCAGATTCTTGTCAAGAACTAGTCACTTATTACATACTAATTTCATATCATTGAGGTTAATTTCTTGAATAAGAAGTTACCATCCTTTAGCCAAGTGTAGTAAAACTAATTTAGGAGAGGCTGTAGAAAGCTATAGAATAGGGAGCAAGGGGGACCAATACAACATTAAAAATTGGCACAGACCTGCTACAAAGTTAAAACTACAAAGAATTCCTATTTTCTTTGCATTGACCACATAGATCTTGACACCAAAACTATGTCATGCAGATGAGGCCGTCTTTAAACCAAAACCATTTCTCTCTCTCTCTCTCTCTCTCTCTCTCTCTCTCTCTCTCTTATTTTTTTCACAAATTCAGCGAAAGGAACCCAAGGGTGTACAATATGTGTAATTGGTGTATAACAGATACACGATCACCCCCCACCCCCAAAAAGAAAAAACAAACAAAACAAAACAGTTCCTCTAATATCCCATTCATTGCCTCTAGTAACCCAAATTGACAAGAGCATCAACCCTTTCAAATCAAAGATATGTTCAAGCAAGTAAGCATGATTCTCTTCACCTTCTAAACCAATAGGTACAAAAATAAAAACCCGACATTGCAGGCCTTCACGGATCCAAGCCAGAGACTGAACTATGAGGTACTTCAAATTTTAAAAATTTTCATTGTCCCCCCTATATTTTTAGAAAGTTTTATTGTTAACCTCTAGCTTTTCAAAACACCCAATGTTTAAGTATCTCTCTTAATGTATTTAAAAAGATCAATGACTTAATATTTAGTTACCATTTAAAATGTAATCATATGGACGAGTGTCGCTTGTCTAGACGAAGACAAATGTTAGATTATTTTGACCACATAGAGGAAAAACAAGTGACTTTTTTTTAAAAAAAAAAAAAAAAAAAGAGACACAAATATAATTTATATCAAAAGCAATTCGTTGACTTTTAATTCATTTTTATTATGGTATCATATAAAACTATTATTTACAACACTGATTTATTTATAGACATAAGGTTAAATTATAAACAGGAAAAAAAATAGGACGATAACATTATCACAAATGATTTTTTATGATGGCATGAACCAATTTTTGCGTTTTGTGATCAAAAATAAATTTTTTGATGTTATTGCAAAAAAATTAAATTTAACAAGTTCTTTACAAAAAAAAAATTTATCATTGACAATGGCCGTTGAATAACCCCATTAAATTAAATATGTCATTGTTATTCATCTCAAGATAAAATCCTGATTCCATCCCTAATCGAAACAACACAAGAAGAACCCCACACATATATATAGGGCCTGAACACAACTCAAGCGACATTAGAGGATATAAGGTCTGCATTTTTTTGCACATGCAACACCAACTCAGTAGCATATTTCCTCTTTCCAAATAATCATCAATGATTAATAGTCACCCCCAGCCCCAGCACACCCAATGATTGAAAAAACCACCTTGGCGGCACATTAGCACTCCATATGCCCTTCCAAGGGAAGCTAGAAGTGCCCCTACACCAGTCCAACACCTCAACAACAAATAACCTCGAATCTCCAGCCTTTCCATCGGACCTCAGCATACTTCCTGCCCCCTCCAATGGAAAGACCAAATTGGGTTCAAATGTTCCAAATTTACTCCTTTTTTATCCCCCCAAAAAGAGTGCTTTACATATTCTGTCATTACTACACATGGCAGAATCTAAATATGAATGTCACAAAAAGAATTTGGAAACAAGTTCATGCAAACAATCTTTACCAAAACCTACACATTAACATGTGGCAATCTTTCATGAAAAACAAAAGAAAAACACGTGGTAGTCCTGATGAATGGGCAAGTCTCGATGGGTATATGATGCAGAATGATAGGATATTAAACCCAAAAAACAGAAGTGTACAGCCATACACACATTTTGTTCGACATACAAGGTTTCAATATATGATCTTTCCAGGAAAAAAACACCACTGCATATCATGAAGTAGAATCATACCCAATTTTTCCTCACTCCCAAAAATTTAAATTAGATAAGATGAACTGCAAATAGAAATTGAAAAAAATTCAAGACTGCTCAAAACTGTGTATAAAAGAGCATCAAAGGTGAATGCTAATGAACAAACTCTCCTTCTATGCCCAATATATGCTCTAACAGCAAAATCCAATCAGCGTCTGTTATAAGCCTTCAGAGAGAAATGGTTGAATTCTGCTGTTTTCTATAAAAATTATACTTCAGCCTTTTTTTTTCCTGACACTGATCAGCCTCTACACATATATGCTAGAAAGAGAAAAGGCCGAAGAGTTTTAGGAAATACTTTGGTCAGTGGAATTCTCACTGTGGAAAGTATCTATTTTCGCTTAGGTTTTGCCCCTATATAAGCCAGTCTCATTGAGACAATAACTAAATAAGAGTCTCTGCAGACTTTGCTCTCTTTAATGGTGAAACTCCATGAAAGTTTCTTCTGGGTGAGATCCTAGAAGGCCGCAGTGATACTCTAGGTTTTCTATCTTTCTTTTCTGCTTGATACTCTAGGTTTTGTATCGTTTGTTTCTGCTTAGGTTTTATTTTCAACGTAGCACTTTCCGTAAGAATGTTTACCATAGCACTGAATAAACAAGAATCGTCACCAGCCCAACAATCAGAACATACTTAGTCCTACAACCCTAACTTTTTGATCCAAAAACTAAAACTCTAACCCATCCAAAATTAGCCTTAAAACTCAACCATTATATCCAAATCCGTTCTTATATCCTATACTACATTCTTAACCATAAACTCAATATTTAGAACCCTAGCCAACCAAATCAGATGCAGAATAACCCTAATTCCTTTATTTAAGTCTCTGACCAGCACCAGATTCTTTTCTCAAAACTTGTGTGCTGATCTAATGTTATGCAGTTGACTTGCCTTTCTTGGGCACGGACACTTTTCACTTATATTTATTTATTCTTTAAAAACTAGTATTCAATGAAAATTTTTTGTGATTGAAAGCAACTATATAAGGAGAGATAAGACAAGGGATTTTAAATAAATACTTACACTTGCTGCAACGTGGCATGATACATCATGCTTCCAATGGCAAGAATCATATTCGATATGTGAAGGACACTAAACCTTTTCTCAAATCGTTGTCTCAAGGCATTTACAAAACCAATGAGTGCCAAAAGAATGAAGGAGATATTTGAGATAGTGTTATAGAACTCTGCAATATAGGAAGAGTAGACATAGTTCTGCTCACACCACTCAGTGTTAGCTGTGACAGGGCCCCAGAAACTTGGTAAGGCATCTGCCATCTGCCATTCCCAATATGTACGACCAGAGTGTATTGTGGATCA